GGGGTCTAGACCCCCTCAGTTTTGGAAAAATTAAGAAGAAAAAAAAGAGGACACCACAGCAAAAAATCTTTAGAGAAAACATCCTTTTAAGCAACACAAAGAAAAGAAAGAATGCTGTGTAAAGGTAAAAGTTTGGGCTTAATTATTATGCATGGGTGCATGTCTGATCTGTAGTGATCTGTTCTTATAGTTTATATGGTCTTACTCTTTTGTAAAAAAAATAAAAAATAAAATTAGGCTTATGTTTTCAACATGACACCGCCCACACTTTCAGTAATGAGGTGGAATTTCCGCCCTCAGTCCCAAAAGAACCCAGAACAACATCTGAATCCCTGCAGGCCTCACTTTCCTCAGTTAAGGTCAGAGTTCATGATCCAAAAACAAGAAAATAGATAAAAGACAAAAATGGCCTCCATGGAGTACTTTAAAGTCCAAAACCACTGCTGACCAAAAATAACACAAAGACCCGTCTCATATTTACTAAAAATATCTTGACATCCTGTTAGGTTGAGTGTAAATCTAACACACATCATCACACCAGCAGTCAAATAGTGATGGGAAGTTCAGCACTTTTCAGAGAGCCGTCTCTTTTGGCTCCTAAACGGCTCAAAACTTAATATAATTTCTAGCCTCATACATTAGCTTAACTTAGCAAATATGAATTCTTTGTGTTGGTTACCCCTTTGGTATTTTGTGTTTTTATGAAAAGCCTTATAACTGCCCGATTTTGTGCATTTGTTCTGTTACAAAAGCAGGCACACTTGTGTGTTTTTTTTTTTTAATTATTTAACCAACCTTTTTTTTTGTAGTTGGTTGAGTATGCTGGGCTCTTCGGTACAGAAATCTGATCCACTTGGCCATGGGCGTAACCGCCATAGGCACCGGGTGGGACATGTCCCCCCCAAACTTCCAATATCTTTGCCCTCTGACCCACACACACACTTTTTTCAGCCGAAGCAGAAAAAAAAGACCTTTTAATAAAATGTGTGCCCCCCACCCCCAACTTTTAAGACGGTGATTACGCCCTTGCACTTGGCTGCAACACCTTTCTTCTCGTCTCCAGCTTTGAGAGAACTGGGTCTACTGCTTCAGGACCAGAACAACTGACTGTAATTGACTGAACCATGAGGCAGCCGAGCCCCCCCCCCCATCCCACCCTGAAGCATTGTTGTTGAGACGTAATGAAGTGGGAGTGTTTGAAACGGTAGAAGGTTCTTAAAGAGACAGAAGCCAATTTCAAGGGATTTAGATAGACTATGAAGCAAAGTCAAATTTAATTTGGATATCTACAGCATTTTCACAACAACTCAAGATAACATAGTTACTTGTTTGTGGTATAGAATTGAACTATGTGCCTGGAAAATACATATTACTAGGGGTGTAAGAAAATATCGATACACTGAAATATCGGGATATTTCATTTCCCGATACTGTATCGATATTTTAAAGCCCTGTATCGATTTTTTATTAATGTTTAAAATGTCAACCTTCTTGCCAACCGTTCATTTTTATGTTGTAGTTCAGCCTCTGACCACTAGTTGGCAGAAGTGAGCCAGCCATTTGGCTCCTCTACCTCTTGAGCGCCAGAGAGTAAGGGTAGCATTAGCATTGTAAGTAAACATTAGCTTTTCTTTTTTTTTTCCAATAAGAGGTTTTTATTTAATAGAATTTTTGGACAAAAAATCGCAATATATCGCAATATATTGCCTTGCTCACAGTATCGCAATATATCGGGATATATCGTATCGTGACCCCTCCGTTACGATATGTATCGTATCGCCAAATTCTTGCCAATACACACCCCTACATATTACCCCCTTTAATAAATTAAATCATCATTTAAAAACTGCATTTTGCATAATTTCAGTTTCTTTGTCTGACCTTAACATTCGTTTGCTGATAGGAAACGTCCAAGAGGGACAAAAACACGTAAACAGAAAAAAAAAAAAACTTTTTCACAGCACTGTGAAAAAACTGATTTGATTCGAGTTAGAATCAAGTTATTCTTCCAAAAGACACGTCACAATGATGAACAAGATTTACTCTAAAAGATTAAAAGGAACTGACAGGTGAAAGTAAGGACTTTGTTTTGGCACTGCACAGAATGTTATCAGTAGAAWCAAAATACTCTAATAGTTTTATAAAAACCAAAAAAAACAGGTGGAAATGAATTTGGTGACTGAAATCCAACTTTGTGTTCTACCTAGTTTAGCTGGAAGTTGTGTTTTCATTTGTTTAGAGATGTTAGTTTCACTCTGTGCAATGACCGTTTTGTTACAAAAAGAACAAGACAAAAGCCTGTATAACTATGGGGTTTACACTGAAATAGAAATACCCTGCTAACCACAAGGTGTGGATTGGTAGGTGCTATGTGGCATCCTTTGTTAAACCCAAACTCAGCCATGAAGGTGTTCATCATTGTGTAAACTGTACACAGTTAAAAGTGTAGCACCTCGTAGGATGGCGGCAAATCTTGCCTAACGCAAACCCTGACCATTCCAGAGTATTTCTGTTTCAGTGGTTCGCCCATACACATGCTGGTTTACATAATTATGTGATTTTAGAGAGAAGGTTCAACTAAATGCTAAATGTTTCTTTTCTACTCTAACAGGAAACCCACTGTCACAACTGCTGCGGGCACACCACACAAAGGAGTGGGACGGTGGGTTTTCCTGCACTAGTGTACCTTCCACCGGATGACACAGTGACCTTTGGACTGGAGACCTTCTCAGCTGCTCGCTTTTTCAGACTTCTGCAACAGCAAAATGGTCAAATTCCATCACATACAGGAGAAAAACAGCAAACACACCCAGAACTGTACTTCTTGCAAACCCATAAACCGCATCTGTGCTGCAAGAATCAGCGATGAATCCCATTTTTGACATTCCACAAGTCTCCTTTATAATCACATTACATATCTCACGTATCAMAGTCCCGAGTTCAGCTTTAAAAAGGTGGCCACTTTTTATTCAGCATCCAAACCTTTTTTCCAAAACCTGATTCCCCGACCCCAGACCCTTCCCCAGAGCCTCACACATGCCTGAGAAAAAACACAAGTTTCCCCTCGTGCTCCTGTGAACCATCTGCAGGGAATCAATAAAATGCCCCGAACTGGAGGGCCGCCAGGAATGTGTGCTCTCTACTGAAGAGACAAAATGGAAACGGTAAGAGGATAGCTGGGACCTCACACGAAAACCACTTCCATTTTAACGCCAACAAACCCCAAGCTGAAGAAAATTCAATATAACAGTTAATAGTTTTGCCTCTTATTTAYGCAGATTCTTTATCTCAGCTGGGAAAACACAAGATTCAAATCACCGCTTTCTGCTTCTGTAGTTAATGATGAATCCTCCGATTCCTCTGTAAAATAACAGAACAAGAGGATGGATTTTCTGAAGGGAAAACAACATCCACACAAGGAGCAATGGAAAACAACAATCAGACGCTCATACAGTAAATCAGACTTCTGGCAGATAGAGAAAGTCTGCACACATTCTTCTGGGTTTGATTGAAGTGGTTCCACTTTCCTTCAGAGCCAAACTACGGGAAGGACAGAAACGGCAGCAGATGTCCCACTCTGAGTGAGTGATCATGACACGGTAAAGTTTCAGAGCGGTGCAGTCTTAACACCTATTGTTAGTTGTGGGAAACAACCTGGATCAAGACAAAACCTCCACACTCCTGGTAAAGTTTACAGGCTTTCCATTTGTTACTCATTTTCCTATCAATAAAAATAAATTGTTGGTGGTTTACTTCCGTGTTTTCTTACTGGAAGTGCGATGAGAAAAATAATAAAATCTGATCCAATTGTTTCACATGAGGCCACAATGAATAAATAAAAACAAAAAGGTGCACTAATAAAATATATAGGTAAGACTCTCTAGGCTTCTTAAATTCCTCTTATGAGTGGCGGTGGATCACATCCTTATTGCTTATATACAGCGGGTAAAATAAGTATTGAACACATCACCATTTTTCTCAGTAAATATATTACTAGAGGTGCTAATGACATGAAATTTTCACTAGATGTCGGTAACAACCCAAGTGATCCATACATACAAAGAAATCAAACTATAAATGTCCAGAAATGAAGTTATTTGTAATAATGTGGAATGACACAAGGAAAAAGTATTGAACACACTTACTGAAATTTATCTAATACTTTGTACAAAAGCCTTTGTTGGCAATGACAGCTTCAAGACGCCTCCTGTATGGAGAAACTAGAGGCATGCATTGCTCAGGTGTGATTTTGGCCCATTCTTCCACACAAASAGTTTTCGTGGACCTCTTCTATGAACTCTGATCTTTAGTTCTTTCCATAGATTTTCTGTTGGATTCAGGTCAGGTCAAGGTCAAGTACATACCCAAAGTTGAGTACCAAAACCTTTAAAAAGTGAATTTTGCATAATAGGTCCCCTTTAAACCTTGATATATGAAGCTTTATTGACTGTCTAGACTTCAAATCTAGGGTATTCGTTCTAACCTGAAATGGTAATTTGTTGACTCACGTTTCACATTGACCGTACAAACAGGAGAATAGCACTGATATGATCATCAAACTCTTGGCTATGCTTTGGACCCGCCATCTACATGACTGAGCCTGGATTGTAGCAAATTTGGAAAAACCTCTTCAAATGTGAAGGCACTTTCTGCACTCACTAAACAGATTTCTCCAGCTGTTCCACGTTCCTCAGCTCACATCAGGATACAGCTACAGTAGCATGATGCTAGCTCCACTGGTATCAGATCAGGCTGTTTCCTTGCTCTTGTCACATTCACAGTGGTAGATGAGGCTAGAGATCAGTGTGGTCAGGTCTGCTTCAAATTCTCCACGACTAAGCCACTCCTGTACACATACAGTAGCCCCAACGACATGGAGACCACCACATTCCCCCCTTATTCCACCCAGGACCCCAAAAAAACACAGTCACTGAAGTTTTGTTAACATTAAAACCCCTCACAACCTATCAAACCCAATGTAGAGCCCACCACATTCTTAATATGTGCCTGAAGACCTCTCCAAGACTRAGACTGTTTCCATCATAGCATGATCTTTATCCAGGATGAAAAGCACCTTAGCAAGAACACATCAATCAAATTTCCAAAAACGTTAAACACAATTGTCACCTATTCCCAACGATGAGCTGCATTTTGCTTCCATTAAATGAAAGAAAAATAATTACTCTTTTTATGAGTCAGGTACAGCATGTAGATATGTTTTATGAAAGATTTAAAATGTGTATTTCAGTACATTACCTTCATGTTTTTAATAACTGATCACAAATTGGCTAATTTAACCAACATGAGTATATCCTTTATGCTTATTTATGACTTCCTGGTTTTATTTCCTTTGTACTATAGTGTATAAATGTTGTCAGCTGCAGCTTAAACCTCTTAAATCATCAGAGTTGGATTCTTGACAGTTTAAGATGAGTCAGTTTCTTACTTGTAAAAGTTCTTGTTGACCTTCCTTTCATGTGGGAATCCCAGCATGCCGCAAACCACGCGGGTGTTTTTGATGGTCCAGCCCAGGTCACAGATCTGAGCCCAGCCATCTTTGCGCTTCACCTCCACCACGCCCTCGGTAATGGGCAGCTTCTTCTTGGTCGTGACGACGACAGGACGGAGTCGCACCTCCTCCACTTTGTTCTCATCGACTTGYGCCTGGAAGGACAGACCGAGTGAGAGGATTTTATTACGGATCCTCGTACACCGTTTGTTTCCTTGTCAAACGTCTCTCTCTTCTTTCGTTATTCAGAACATTTTTTGTTCAAACCAAGACACATAACCGTGATAAGATCAACAGAATTCACCGTGAGTCATGGGGAAGCTGTAACAAATATTTAATAGTTGATGTGAGAAGCAGATCTGCAGCGATTCTCTTCCGCTGTAGTTTATTTGGGAAAAAGAACAAAAAAAAAAACCTGGCTATGGTTGAAGATTAAAGTCTGGTCGCCACATTTGACTGAGTCTCACTAAAAAGAGACAGAAGAGGAAGAAGTCACAGCCTCAGTTAACTGACTGTTCAGATACTGTATTTAAGAATGTGACTGTGAAGCTCTCATCACATTTGCACCTTTATCTACTCAAGGTAACTCAAAGTAAATGAGTTGTAGGTGTACGTCTAATAATTACTTCCTGAGAGTTGAATTAAATTCCGTCTGGAGTTATTTTGCTAACAAACAACCAGAGTTGAGGCAAACAGCGAATGCTAAAATTTTATGCACAGATGTTGCACAGAGTGCTTGAGTACGCGTGGTGAATTAGTCTCAGCTGCAACCACGCAAAATGCTAAGTCAATGTCTGTTAAACTGACTGAGTTATTTACATGTGTGAGTTTTATAAAGAAGTCAACTCTAAAAAGTTAATCAGTTGTAGATGTACGTTCAGAAATTACTTTCAGAAAGTTTCATTGAAATCTGTCTGGTGGTTCATCAGATATTTTGCTAACAGACTGTCAGGGTTGACACCAACAATTAATGCCAAAGATTAAAGCTAAAAAATGCACAACATGGTAGCATTTGGAGTGTGTGTAGGGGTTAATGCGCCATCACTACCACACCAAGAGTCAGACAAATACCAATATTCAATTGGCTCTGGGAGCCATCTTGAATTGGGTCAGTTGTAGAGGAATATCCATTGGTTATTTTCTGAAAGCTTCAGTAAAATCTGTTCAATGATTCCTGAGATATTTTTGGTAAGTGACAGAGTTGACCTCAAAAGTGAATGATGAAGTTTCAAACAGATGTTTTGAAAGTTACCACAGTTATAYTGTAGTGATAAACATCTCCTACATTAAACCATATAAACTAAATAATATTCATTCATAAACTGACAGCAGTAACTTACATCTATAACATTTGGGTCCACAAAGCCAGGGATCCTCTCGTCTCTGCAAACAACTCCAGCATCTTCATCATGAGTGCAGTCACTGTTGCCCCAGCCGCGAGACTTGCAGAATTCAATGCTCTTCTCACCGCCGTTGCACAACACGTTGTCCAGCCAGATTTTTCCTGCCGCAGACAGTCAGTGAGACTCTGACACACATCAGGCCAGAGGGGATCAAACAGTTCAAGTCTGAAGTTTCTATTGTGCAAATGATGAGTCAGCATCCACACTATTGTTTCTGGGTTTTTTATACGGTTTGCAATCTAGCAGCTGTTGCTCTTTTGATGAAATTTTGGCAACGAGTTCAGCTCCAAACATGGGTGCTGCTACTTTTATACTTTTTAAAATGTTTAATTTACAAATATAATGGCCACAGAAATGCATGAAGATCACTTTCATTTCTTTAAAAAACATTGTTTTCTTTGAAGCTTACTTTAGTATGCTTGCGCTATTTTTATCTTGCCCTACATTACTTTTTAGCTACAGCTCTGTTACATTTAGCATTTAGCCTTTTGATGCTTTTAACTTTAGATAGTCCTTCAGTCCTTTTTAGTTTGTAGCTACAGCTCTGCTACATTTAGYRTTTAGCTAGCCTTTTGATGCTTTTAGCTTTTAGATAGCCTTTTGATACATTTTAGCTTTAAGCTAGACTTTTTGGCTACTTTTATGTTCTTGCAAGCATTCTGTCTTTTATGTTTAAATAGCCTTTTGCTACTTTCAGTTTTAAGTTAGCCATGATCTATTTTTATTATTTAGCTACCATTCTGTCACATTTATATTTTAGCTAGTGTTTTGCTGCCTTTAAGTTTTGGCTACTGTTCTGCTATAATATGCCTTTTGGTACTCTTTGCCTTTTGTTACTTCTAGATTTGACCTAAACTTTTGGCTACGTTTGTTTTATTTATCATTCTGCCTTTTTATAGCCTTTTGCTACTTTTATTATTTAGCTAACATTTTGAAACTTTCAGTATTTTAGCACCTTTTTCTACTGTTCTACCCCTTTTAGCTATTTTTTTTTTTTGCTACTTAGAGCTTTTACTAACCTTTTACTAGTTTTAGCTTTCATCTACCATCTGGCAACTTAACTTTTAGTTTTTAGCAATCCCTTTGTTGCTTTAAGCTAACATTTTATTTTATTTTTTTACTTAAATGTTTTGTTTTATAGCTCCTGCAAGTTTTGGCAGCTAGGTTTCACAGGATTTCTGCAGCAAATATTTTCAGTTGGTCATCAATAATTGTCACTGTAGTAAAACAAGTCTTGTTTTTTATGTTTGAAAGAAATATTGTCACTAATTAGAATTTCTGATATTTTGTTTTTAGCTGAAGTATAATTATGAAATTTATTTTTTCAGTACTTTATTTACTAAAACATTTAATTGTATTAACAGCTACTACACAGGACAACATACTTTCATTCGAGAGCTCATGGCTGAAAAGTTTAATAAATAAGAAGCCAGGTTGGTCTCACCTTGGCCTTTGCCGTATTTAGCGCTGTGGGTCCATCCTGTAGCCGAGACAAAGCCCAGCTGGCGACAGAGCACGTTGGCATTGGCTATAGAGAAGTCATCATCACAGATGGTTCCCCACTCTCCTTTGTAGAACAGCTCTATCCGCCCCTCGTTGTGTTTTCGGGGGTATCCAGATAGTCGGACTTTAAGCCTTTCAGTCTGAGGGGATAAAGACGGGGTAGGTGCCAGGTTGGCTCTGTTTGCCGCTGTGGTTTGAGCTGAACAATTAGGAAACCACAGCCATAACAGAAGGCTGAACACAAACTGCTGCCTGTGCCTCAACTTCTCCATTACTTCAGCTGAAAGAAGAGAAAGAGACAATGTCTAGTATGTAAATGAGAAAAAATTTAGAGCCGTTTGTTTTACTGTATATGCAGTAAGGCAGAAATGATGACAAAAACTGTCCCTGACGTTCTCATTTTGGCCTCAGCACCAGCCTGTTCACAGCCCTTACAACTTTACAAGAAAATGACATATTTGACAAAGTTTATTTTTGATAAAGATAGCATTTTTAAAATAAAACTGTTGTAATGGAACTAATACTTTTATGTTTAAGCAAGTAATTCATGACATCCTTTAATGACCTAGGTTTTCATGACATGCTGTTCTGCAGATAGAATGATTAAAGTCAGAACAAGATTTGCTAACAACAGTCATTCTTAGATATCACTTGTGTTTATCTTTGTGTTTTCCATTGACCTTGTATCAAATCTTGCTAAGATGACAGAATGGTGTTTGTTAATATATATATATGAGGCCTCTCGAGACACAGTGAGTAGTGTGGAGAGACAGTGACAGAGAGAAGCAGAGGCACAGAGACAGGCCAGGTTGTTCTCTGTGTTTCCTGTTGTTGCAATWAAACTCAGCTGATCATCTCACGGARTACCTTCATTCTTGGACCATGCATTTCTGTCTTTGTTTAACAACTGTTTAATCTGTTAGCTTTCAAAATATGCGAAAGGACAGCCTTTCGGCTACTACCAAATCAAAATTTAGGTCAATAACACAGCTGTGGTCACATTGGTTGTAGCATCCATCTTGCATAAGGATGACTCCAAAAGTTAAATCAGTTGTTGATGTACATCCAATGATTACTTCCTAAGAGTTTCATTAAAATTCATCCAGTGGTTCACAACATATTTTGCTGACAGCCATTCATGCACACACACTTGGGCATAAACAGTCATGGGGGATAATCACAACACTAAAATGATATAATGAAAGTCACAGAAAAGATGGCCGGCACATGGGAATAAGATGTGCAAAGAGCCGCTTCAGTATTTTAATTCAAACCAGCTGATCTGTTGTGATTTTAGTCTCACTGCCTCACATTTGAAGGGGATATACAGTATCATGACTTTAAATCCTTTTACCATAAATCCTTCAGTTGGGGTCTATATAAAGTGGAACTGCAATGCTTTGGTCTGAATTCCTCATTATTGTAACTCCATAAGCCCCTCTTTCACCACTTTTCTGAGGTGAATCTGAGAGCAGCTCGTTTTGATGCTGTGTCTTTAAAAAGGAGGCGCTTCACAACCCCCCTCTAGGTTTTTCTCCCAATGATCATTGTCCACTCTCTTGTTCTGCCATATTTGTTCTTTGATAGCGAATATATGATTATCTAGCGGCACAGAAACTTATTTACTTAATTAATAGATGTCAACAATGGAAGACCTGTTCATCCAGCCTTACATGTTGGAGCCAGAGTCTGACCTTGAGCCAGAGTCTGACCCAGAGCCAGAGTCTGACCCAGGGCCAGAGTCTGACCCAGAGCCAGAGTCTGACCCAGAGCCAGAGAAGAAAGAAGACGATGAACCCGCAAAACTGAGAATTCATGAAACTGGTTAGTCCGAAGTCCATGACCTTATTCAGCAGTTCTGTGTTCAGAAAATGTAACAGGGAATAGAGAAAACTGAAGGAACTGAAAAATATGACCCAAACAGAAAAAATATCTACGCAGCACCGGGATAAACTAAATTAAACTTTTCTGCACGCTTAGAGTCTCCAAGTACAAGAAAATATATTTAAGGGCCAAAAAAAAAGTGGATTTTGCAGGACATATCCCCTATAAACATGTACATCTCAGTCAATAGACATACATCAGAAAAACTCATTCAAATGTCATCATGGGTGATAAGGCTGAATTTTTCATTTTCTCCTTTCACCCTGTACCAAAGAATGAGTTGACGCCACCAGCCTTGCTTAGCTGAACCAAGAGAGGTCAAGCGATTAAAGCCTTCCCTCAGCCTACATCCCCCAGAATGCCATGTTTTATTTATTTATTTTATTTATTTCCCGTTATTTATCCAGGCAAATCCCAGGGCAGCCTGAACCTGAAGGCAACCTATTGTACATGTTTTTTTTGTTTTTTTGGGGGGGGGTGGGGGGGGTGGATGAGGAGAACAAGGAACCAGAACCAGGAGAACAATGCAAACTCCGAGGCGTCAGTGTTAACCATGGTAAATGGTAAATGGACTGTACTTCTATAGCGCCTTTCTATCCATCCAGGACACTCAAAGCACTTCACACTACAGACATTCACCCATTCACACACACATTCACACACTGATGATGGCAAACTACAATTGTAGCCACAGCTGCCCTGGGGCACACTGACAGAAGCRAGGCTGCCATACACAGGCGCCACCGGACCCTCTGACCACCATCAGTAGGCAAGGAGGGTAAGGTGTCTCGCCCAAGGACACAACGACTGAGTCGACTGGACGGGAATCGAACCGGCGACCTTCCAGTTCCAGGTCGACTCCCCTAACCACTCTACCACAGCCGCCCCAACAGTTCACTACAATTCAAATGATGTCCCTCATCCTGCACACCTGCTGGGATGAGGGGGCATTATTTTTTATTTACTTCAAAATAATAATTATTTTTTATTTCCTTCGTCTCAGAGATGTAAACAGCATGTTCAAAGCTGATGACAATCACACTGCTTGTGTGGACTATTTCACAGGATTCAACCACACAACCTCAATGGATATGCAATCCAACAAAATTTATTTTCAGAAAGAAAATTCCGATCATCTGAAATGACAACTCAAACTTCTATCTGAGAACTTAGTCCCTTCCCCGGACTCTCGGTAGTAAAACTTTTTAAACGTATTAACTGAAGACCAATCTGCGGTCCGCAAAATATGTTTCAGAGAAACGCCACTATGAAGTTTGAAGAGATTTTTTTCTTAAAGTTGCATTAATTGAGTCTTAGACCCTGATTTCCCATATGGAAGTCCACAACATAGACCAGTAGACCATTGGAGTCATGGTCACTAAATTGTTGTTTTGCCAAAGTGGTTCTGGATCGGTGTTCAGTGAAATTATTCACATTCTATCAGACATATTTACTATCACATGTCTATCGCGATTTATATCGTTACTGTTTTATTGCCCAGTCCTATCATCTTGTACACCTCTCTGCATGAAGTATTTTTTTACGTTCGTAGGCTAATGCCCAATTTGAATAAAAAGCTCAGTTTTTACTTTTACAACCCATTTTTTCCCATATGTCTATAAAGCTGTCAGTGAACACCACATAGGCCTGCTATTGATATTTCCAGGACTAGACTCCAAAGCTTTTAGTGAGTGGGCGGTTGACACAAACACTGTAGTGTGATGTGTTTGTACAGGAACTGCAAATTTAAGTTTCCCTTTCCAAAACATTGAGTCTGAATACATAGTCTGAGTTCAATTTCACAGTGTCTGGAYGGACACACACGTTTACTGAGCTTTGGTGAGGAAGAGCTCTTTAGTGGAAAAGTGGGAAAGCCGCTGTGTTTTAAAAGATGCATGTGTGTAATTATGCTCTGTATGTCGATTCTTTGTCAATAATTAAAAACGAAAAAGAAGAAGAATTAGATTTATCGTATCATCTTGTGATGAAGGTTGTTGAGTTGTTATCACTGTATTAAACATGGCATTTAAAGGCCAAGCCTTCCTGGAAGAAAAGCCTATTGCTCGCTGATAATGATAAAAAAAAAAAGGATAGAATTATAGTTAACTTTTGAAACCAGCTGAGCATAATCTGGTGATCATGTGAGCTTTGGTGTGAGCTCTTAGACAGATGTGGGTAGTAACTAGTTACTTTTACTTATGGTTATGTACTTTAGTTATTATGAGATCTTATCTCATAATTACAATGATGTTATGATTAGTTACTTAGTACTCATGTAACCTCTCCACAAAATGCTTTTTACTCTTACGTAATTTCTTGGACAGCTAATTTTTACTTTTACTTGAGTAAAAATATGTTGAAGTAGAGCTACTCTTACCTTTTCTCATAAGTATGAGATCAGGATCTCATAATTATGAGATATTTTCTCATAAATATCTCATTACATCTGATAGGAGAACTTATCGCATAATTATGACATATTATCCTGTAATTATAAGATCATATCTTGTAATTATGACATTATCGCTTAAATCTTTTACTGTATTTGTTATGCATCGCATCAGGGGTGCAGCATCAGAGGCGAGTAAAATTTACTCGCCTATCCGCCTTCGTGTTTTTTCTGAATGCTCGTTGGAGGACTGGAAACGCATCAGGCCCAGACTGAGCCGTCTTATGAAAGGGGCTGAGGTCTTTTCTCCTGCTTATGACTTATTACTTTATAATTATGACATTTTCTCAAAATTGTGGGTTCTTTTCTTATAATTATGAGCTCTTTTCTAGTAACTATAATTCATTTATCTGGGGCGGCTGTGGTAGAGTGGTTAGGGGAGTCGTCCTAGAACCGGAATGTCACTGGTTCGATCCCCGTCCAGTCGACTCAGTCGTTGTGTCCTTGGACAAGACACCTTACCCTCCTTGCCTACTGATGGTGGTCAGAGGGTCCGGTGGCGCCTGTRTATGGCAGCCTYGCTTCTGTCAGTGTGCCCCAGGGCAGCTGTGGCTACAGTTGTAGTTTGCCATCATCAGTGTGTGAATGTGTGTGTGAATGGGTGAATGTCTGCAGTGTGAAKCGCTTTGAGTGTCCTGGATGGATAGAAAGGCGCTATATAAGTACAGTCCATTTACCATTTACCATCTGTGTGTATGATAAGTTCTCGTAATTACGAGAGAATAATCTAAGAGAAGAGATGGGTGGAGTACCCAAAAGTTGAACTCAGATTAGGAGAGTCATAGCTGATTGAGTTTAATGTGGATGGTGTTGTGTCTGCTGGATTGTTAATAAATTTACCTGCACACCAGTTTATATGAGTTCTACTTAATTTGGCTCTGTCACAAAGGTAACACTGGTACTCAACTTCCTTAATCGGTAGTGTATGGCATTACATCCATCCATCCATTTTCTTCCGCCTATCCAGAGYCGGGTCGYGGGGGCAGCAGCTTCAGAAGGGAGGCCCAGACCTCCTTCTCCCCAGCCACTTCTTCCAGCTCCTCCGGGGGAACTCCAAGGCGTTCCCAGGCCAGCCGAGAGACATAGTCCCTCCAGCGTGTCCTGGGTCTTCCTC